GTCCAGTGAGGGTTCGCCAGCCTATGGCAGCATTTGTCCTCTGTCCTTTGTAATGTGGTAAAAGAGTACTCTACCCTGTCCTGTCCATTAAACAGTGAGAGCAGCAGGGCTGGCTCCTGCTCCTCCCCATCTCAGTGTACTGCCTCCATTAGATCATTCAGATGATGCTTGTCCTTCAGGTTTTCCTGGTTAGACATGCTGTCAGAGTCCTTCTGGAATAGGTCAGTTCGTAACATTAAAGGATGCACTCACTGTACTTTTGAGCAGTGAGCAGTTCTGTAAAAAAGCTGTGGGTGACACATGACATGTTTGTACACATCAGATGTGATATCCTCACCCACATCTGATTGACATTTTTTACGTAGTACCTCCGACGGTGCTACCATCTGTCTTGTGAATCCAAAATACTGCGAAACGCCCAATGTCGCATTATTTTTAGAGTCAAAGTCGTTGTTGTTCTCTGTAACATCACCAACAGCCACCTCCTCCTCAGTGGCATTCGTGTGTCTCTGTCAGTTTGCTCGTCTGCTCCGTCCCCTCCTTCACTCCAGGTCCTCGCTGACACCACCTCTGATATTCACATTCTAACAAGTTTAATTGGTTGTCTGTAAGATATAACAGCTGCCAAACTAAATCTGTGATAATAGATATCACATTTTTTGAACTGCCGTGCCATTCTTCACTTTCTTTATACAGTTCTAGTGCACACGTAATATTATTTATCCTGGTTATCAGGTGAAATACTGTACATTCAGAGTGAATTATAGACAGTTAAGTGCATAAAAGACTGAGAGATGTGTTGAAAAGGCACATTAAAAAAAGAGATAATAAACACTTCTTTCCAGTGAGCACCGCCACATTTCCTGAGCCTGATAATACACTCTCTCAGAACAGTTGATTGCACTTTATTGACATTAACAAATGATTTTACTTGGCAGGCCTTCATTTAAAAGTCAGACTTTTTTGGCTAATGTCATGATATTGCTGTTGAAAATTATAAATAGTTTTAAACTGCTGTGGTTTAAGCAAAGCCTGACCTTACAGGACCAGAGAAACGTAGCATTCTGTTAAACTAATCAAAGGTTGTTACTTTAGAGCTGTATTAATCCAGCTGTTGAAATGTTGACCAAAAAGACTACATTTAAGTTACAGATAAATTACAGGTTTTTAACACCAGTAAAATCCACAGTGCAGCCCTGAAAAGATGTTCACATTTGTGTTTAAGTGTAATCTTTGTTCTTTTGTAACATTTTATTTCTTTTTTTTTTTCTAGATTTATGTTTTGTAGTCGTGCTAATTTTTATGCCTTCGCGCCGGCAGTAGCCACGGCCAGAGGCATTGTGTTTCAAGTTCACTCCAGACCAGGGTTATCCCCAGACTTTCAGGTTTTTAGAATCAAAAGTCATAATTTTCTAATCAGTCATAAATAAGTTATATGAAGATGTGATTATCAGTCCTAAAGCTCTGAGGTTTTAAGCTCGAGTTGAGCTCGCCCAGGGCTTTGTCTAGCCTGTTTTGCGCCTTGCATTGACTGACTTGCTGTACAGTATATCTCTCAAACTTGAATAAGCACAGATTTATTTGATTCATTCCTTGAAAATGATCCACCTTGATTGGTGGTGGTTCTTGATTTGGCTTTCCATCTCAGTTTAGGATTATACGTATATATCTCAAATTGGCGAGTAAGAATTCATTTACATAAGTTAAGTTGTTTGCTTTGAGGATTAAAGGATTAAATTTGGAACATTAGTTGCCACACTCTGTGTTCTGTTAGTCTGTAAAGTTTGTTGGATGTCACTGTGTTGCTTTGATAAATAAAAGTTAACGAAGTCTAATTAACGTTTACAAGCTATCAGATCATTTCCTTTTTGTTAGAAGTATGAGATGTGATGAGGTGCCAACAGCAGAAGCTAATGTGCTGGCACTTGGCACAGGCTGCTCCTGATAAGAGTTGCTCTTGCTCTCAGTCTGTTAGCAGGCTTCTTCATCTTGGTCTGTCCTCTCTGTTTGCTTCACTGCAGATGTGACTCAGAAAACCGTTACCTTGGCAATCCACTGAGAGGAACCTGTTACTGTGAGTAATTCTCCACCAGACAGCTCATATGCGCACACATGCACATGCACACGCACACGCACGCACACACACACACACACACACACACACACACACACACTGGTTATTCTTGGATATTCTCTCTCTCTGCTTTCCTCTCTCTCTCCCAACATCTCCACTTCCGCTCAGGGCAGATGGGGCAGTTTGGCACTTTGGCACCAGGGGCACTTGTTCGGTGACAGAATGACTTGTTGTGAAAATGTCAAGTGCATCAGGAGTGAGTGATTGAGCTAATCAGGGGGACGGAGGAGTAAAAACTCTCCACTTGTCTACTCACTCACTCACTCAGCCACCCACCTACTCATTCATTCATTTACAGTGTAGTTGATTTAATGTTATTGTGACTTTTAAAGTAGAAGGAAAATCCATCAGAGTGAGTGATGTAAACAGCTGCATTATATAAAGAAGTAAAAAACAAAAAACAAAAAAAAGACAGACATAAAATTGACGCCCGGCGATGACGAGCGGTCACACATTTGCGCCTGTATTCCTGTTTATTCTGTACGTGTTGGTGTTTGTGATCTGTGTGTTTATTTGCATGGTGCGGTGTCCTTCACGGTGCTGTAGTACTTACCCATTTGTTATCTGCCTTTCAACACTGCTACTGACAACAGAGCCTTTGCCAAGGTTTTTTCCCTTTCGAAATGCCATAGCATGACACCAAGCTCAATGAGAAAAAGACAGGAAACGAAAGGCCTGGAGCTGGTTTTAACCTCCGCACAGCACTGGGATTTTTTAAAGCTCTGGTATGCAGCATTGTAAACACAACACTCAATGACTATCTAAAAGGGCGCTGACCGTGGATTAACATGCTTCACTGACGGTGGCATTATCCAGCTACTTCAATGTCTTCTCACTATAACTGGTGATTTTGAGCTCCCTCCTGTTATCTCCCAAGGTGTTTGTGCAATTAAAGCCCTTTGACTGTCACATGCATACATAACCAGTCACACTATTAAACATAAAACCGTCAGGAAAACAAGATAGAATTGATTTTATAACTGAAAAATCACAAACACACATGACAGATGAACGCCCATGCTACAAAATGGATTGAAGGAACGATCCAAAATAGATTTTTCTGGCTATAGATTATACTTAATATTGATACTTCATTGGCTTAAATAATTTTGGGAAAAGAGTGAATTTATATGTCACAATCTACTGTTAATTAAGGATACTTCATTAATCACTGCAGGGGGTTTCTGAGCCTGCTGTCACGGTCAGGTCTTCCTATTTGTTGTCTGCTTGATTAGAAAATTGTAGCCCTGATTGCAGTCACTGGATTTGATTGCAGACATTTTGATTTCACTTGTCTCTATTGGTCAGGCTAGTGCTTGGATTTTCTTTTGATTACATCACATACAGCTCTGTATATTTATGCAGTCATAGTCATCTCTAGTAGTGTTAAGTCTCAGCTGGCAGCTCAAAAGGTCTACTGTATTGTCCTTATTATGTGCAGTGTATTGTTGAATAACAGGAAAGCTTATAAGACCTTTCTTTCCTGTCTGATTTTCTAAATAGACAATCTCCTGATCGACTACCAGTTCACCTTCAGTCTCATCCAAGAAGATGATAATCACTACACTGCCATCAACTTTATGGCCTCACCTGAGCAGGTAACTATTGCAGAAATCAAAATTCTCAGACCAGCAACCAAGGCAGTAACAATTGAACCTTTAATGTGGTAACGTGAGCACAACATCGTGTCGAAACCACATTTAACACTGATGATCATTGATTGATCATTCATTTTCTATCAAGACAATAGAGAGTTTCATTTGGAGTCTGAAACTGCCCCCAAAGTGTCCAAGGCTGAAAGCTTGCTAAGTTATACACCCTCCTTATAGTAGCTCTGCTTTTATTATGTAATGTACTTTCCTATAGTGAGGCTGTTGTGTTTTTTTTTGTGTGTGTGTGTGTGTTCGACAGCACCCCTCCACATTAAGACAAGACGTGAAACATATTTCTACAGCAAAAATATTTGAAAAAAGTTACATACTGTAGCTTTAACTACACTAATGGTGTGGTGTTTTTATGTTCATCATTTAAAGGCAAACAAGAACTTGGACATGTCGATTAATGCATCCAACAACTTCAACCTCAATATCACCTGGTCGGTGGGATCAACAGGTAATTTCACTTGATTATACAGATTAAATTAAAGGAATAGTTCAGGATTTTTCAATATGTTCTTAAAGTATTATTGATGTATCCCTCTGTACATGAAAATGGTCTTAGTTGTTGTCACTTCTCCTACACTCCACACTGACCCTGAATGTTTCCACCCGGAACGTGACTACCTTGAAAAAAAAAACAAAACAAGGGTCAAACCACACAACTTTCATTCAGTGCAAAAACTCATTCCAAAGTTCATTTGTGGCTTAGATTCAGCTTCAGCTGTCCCACTAAGTTAATATGAGTATTTGGTATCTTTTAAAGTTACTGTCTATTCAAAACAAATTTAGGTACTGTCCAGAGAAAGAAAAAAGGGAAATTTGTTGTGAATAGACAGTAACTTTGAAAGATACCGACTCTTATTAGCTTAGTGGAACAGCTGAAGCTGCATTTGAGCATCAGACAAACTTTGGAGTGAACTTTTGCACTGAAAAAAAGCTTGTCCCTCAATTTTTGCAGCATAGTGACATTTCAGGTGGAAACATTCAGGGTCAGTGTGGAGAGTAGTATAAGTGACAACGACCAAGACCTGTTCTCACATACACAGGGATACATCAGTATTGTTTTAACAGCAACTGAACTATTCCTTCAATGTATTAAACAAATACCTCTCTCTGGTTTTGTCCTTCTATTGGCCAGTAGACACCTTGATGAGAGGAAAACCATATGAATATTGATTCCCGTCACAAGAATGCAGATTTAGTTGTGAACAAAAATAGTTAGCAGATGGAGTTTTTATACTCTTAAACTGGAAACAGGCCACTGAATAATAAGTTCCCCTCCCTCTTCTCGCTGTGTTGTAAATTCCCCAATTAGCCTGTGAAAATACATATTCCCAGTTCAAACAGCAATGCATAAATAATATGGAAAAGCAATTATGTTGTAAACAAAATGTTTTATTCTACACCAAATAAATGGCTCAGGGCATAAATGCTATTAGGGGTACAGGTCAGAAGTGATCAGAATTGCAAAATTGAGGACATCATCACAAAAGAGTTATTATGGGCTGTTTTAACATTTACACAACAACAGGTCAACAGAGCAGATATTCAGAATCTCATCTCCCGTTGTACGATTTGCCAGTCGCACAGAAAATGACATACGCCCATTCTAGTCTGAGTCTGTTTTCATTCATGATTTATACAAAGGCATCAAACACAGACTCAGGTATGTCTCTGTTTATTGTTTATTGCCATTTCAGTGCCAACAAAAGTTGCACATTGCTTATTTAAACACCACATATTATATATGTACGTGACATGCAGAAAGCCTTGTTAATAATTTTTATTCATTTTATAAGTGATATGATGCTGTTAATATCATACACTTAGGCTGCCAACACATTTACTTAGGATGACAAAGGCTTTAAAAATTGAGTTATTAATGTAGGTAGTATAATGGATATAACAGAAATTACCAGCCCTACCTGTTAGCGTGCACTGTGTTACTGTTGAGTGGATAATACAGGTCCACTGGGGATAGACAAGGCAAGGACACCACAGTCATCCAATGCACATCTTCTTCTCCAGTCACCTGCCACTTTCTCCATCCTCACAACACTGACATTTTCCAGCCATTAAAACACGTTAACCTCCCGTGCTTGTCTCTGGCACCTTAACCTTTTTGGAGCATCGTCATCATTAATATTTGAAACTGGGGCCCCTTTCCCCACAAAGATATTGTGTCTCAGGAGGAGCGAGAGCCTCTTCACAATTGACAAGAGTGTGAAGCGTCTTTGGGTGGAGTGGGGGCAAGAAGGGTGATTTCAATTAAGATAAGTGTGCTCACGAAGCCACACTCAAGCTGTCATTTTCGGTTCTTTTGTTTCAGAGCTCTGGGTTGGAATGTCAATGTTGAAGACCCACTGACATGAGGAAGAATAAGAAATGACTTGAAATATTTAAACACATTGAAAATGGGAGTTTTGGTTAAAAATGTAAAAGTTTTTATTACATGATGGGTATTAAGAATTATATGTAAACACAGCACTTTCTAAAGTTTGCACTTCAGTTTTGAGCTTATTGAGTTTTATTCAAAGAAATGCCATCATTCGCCTTTGAACTGTCATTATAAAATATAGCAGTACTTTTTAACTACCATTTTGGGCTGCTGTAATATTCACCCACATATGAATACCTAACACAAACAAACACAAAATAGCTGATCTGTGCAGAGTGTGGTTGCCCTTATGTAGCCTGTATCTGGTCTAAGGGCACAAAAAGCTCAATTCTATGACTTAAATAACCAAAATGCATTAGCTGGATACAAATGATAAATATGTGCTAAAAGATAAACTGCATGTGTAATTACATGGTGAAGCTCCACTGTTTTTAGGTCAAACAAAAAGAGGTTTAATGCACTTGAGACATCAGACTAAACGCTCCTGAGAGCTTTTCTGTTTCCTGCTGTCCCAAACAGCATTATAAATAATGATGAATAATCCAATAATGGATTCATACTACTATTAGCTCCAGATCTGTATGTACTGTAGGTCCATTCAGTGAGCTCCAAATGGCAGTGTTCTGAACATAAACTCTTTGCCCCAACAGCTGGAACCATCTCTGGAGAGGAGGTACCCATCGTGTCCAAAACTAACATCAAGGAATACAAAGACAGTTTCTCCTGTGAGAAGTTCACCTTTAGAAGCAACCCCAATATCACCTTTTATGTCTACGTCAGTAATTTCTCATGGCCCATCAAGATCCAGGTAAGGACTGTACTTGTGACCTTCACCTGACTTACATGTAGTAGATAACACACTGATCCTTAGTTTTGTTTTGTTGTCGCTCTTTCCAAATTGCTTATCTAAATGTACAATGTGTGTGTAATCCTTTAACATTTATTATCAACAGGTCTTTGCAGATGCAAAGCTCTGTTGTTTCTCAGGATCATTTCAAGTGCACATTATTCTAATTACAGATTTAATGAGTAGTGGTTAGCATGCACAGATGCACAGCAGTTTTTTAGTGGGCAAAATCAAAGCACCATTTAACCTTTTCTAGACCTTCCTCTGAATGGAAACTGATTCGGACAGAGTGAAAATATAACACAATGAAAAATGTGTTTGGAGGAAAAAAAATGGCTAAGCTATTGTCAAAACATCCATGGTGTAACCTCACAGGCTAAATGGAGCTGAAGACCACATAAGGTGACTGGAGCCTGAAAGTGATGTGCTGTGATTTCATAGCAATGAAAGCTCTGAGGTTACGAGAGAACACCTACTGTCACACATGTAGATAAGTAGTTTACATTCATTTAAAAGTAAAATAATAATTGTTGCCTCAAAAATGGATGATTTTAACACATTTGAATCCAATCAGTTCCTCAGTCAAGTAACACTTGACCTTAAACTTTTACATGTGGTCAGAATTCTGGTAAAGAATAACAGTCAGTGTTGTATACTGCAACAGCAGTCTGCAACAATCTTATTTCTAAAGTTGTATGATTACACGAGAGGCAAGACATGATAGATAAAATTGTCATTCCTAATAATAGCACACAATACCCTTTTTACTAATAAGCCCCCTCTCAAATATTGATTTTTATTTGTTCTGGCCCTCCCTTTCACATGGTAAATGAATGGACCAGTCATCTGTGGAGGTGGCCTGGTGACATTTTTCTATAGGATTTCCTGCCCCAGCAGCTGCCTATTTATTATGGACTGGCCTGGGCTGGTAGAGGAATAGGTTCTGTAACACGATAAGATCCCTCTTTCCTTGCCTCTGTAATGCAGGGATGAGAATGTAGGCCTGGATTGAGATCATTCATAATTTGAGACTGCAGTTGTTTTTGTATTTAATGTCCAAGCAAATAAGCAGATAATAAAGCAGATGGTAAAGAACAGTGCCCTAGCTGAGATTTTTCTGTGACATCATCAAGTGCCTTCAAATAATGTCATTTATTGGCTGCATTGTGAAATTTTGTTTGCTTCACACTAAATCTATCCAAAGACAAGTGGATGAAATTAATAAAATTTTAGATTTGTGTTGTCTAGAAAGCCTTTTGGCTTATTTTTACTTTTTTTTCACAGCCAACAGCTTTCATTCCATGTCCTCCAGAGAATCTTTCATTTTCACTGACCTTTTTGCAGACTTTACCTGTCAACACCATATTATCTTAATCCCTTCACAGTGTCACAGATCAACAGGGAGAGCTCAGTCAGAATGAAGTGAAAGTTCATTGGGCTTTTCCCTCCTGGAATTAAATGATTGTTAATAGCAGATTTGTTTATTTATTTTAATTGTAGAATGAGATTTACAGCTTGATTGTAATTCTATTTTTTTCACCAATAGATTGCCTTCTCCCAGCACAACAGTATCATGGACCTTGTCCAGTTTTTTGTGACATTTTTCAGGTAAGTGAGTCAAATGTTTGTTTAACATAACTAAACACACTTACTCATTTAGTAATTTTTTTAGTTAAGTGTTCAGCAGTCAAGTTATTCAGAACTCAACCCACCACCACTTCATTCTCCACTTGTCCCTCTAGAATTATTGGGCTACTTGAGCCTATTGGACCAGTTCTGTTAACCAGGGTAAATGCTTTGTGAATCTTCAAGGCAGCAATTTTCCTCTTTCAAGCGTGCAAATGAACTGTCGGTAACCGTTTCAATAGGTACATATTGCTCTGCAAGTGCCATCTAAAGAGAAGGCATGGGTGATCAAGATATGAGGGCATGTAATGATTTTTCATCCTGAGAACTGTGATAGAAATCTTTTCTCATTGAAATGTTTAAAATGAGGCAATCGAGTTATCTTAAAAGCACAGCAAAGTCTGACTAAATTAAGAGGATGTGAGTATAATGGCAGATTTTTTTGCTTGAAGTCAGATATTTGGCGTTTTTGTAAAGCTTCCAAAGATTGCATTGACTGGCTATGTTTTATGAATGATGGTGTATTTGGATGCAGATATTTGCAGCAGATTTCCCATGAACAAATCAACAGTGGATAAGTTAAGATGATTTTACTTAGTGGCATTGTCGGGGACAATATTGCCTACCAAACTCAGTGACACAGTGTCTGTGATGATTTTATTTCAAGGTGTGCTGCCCCGAGTAGCTGATAGACCAACATATTATCTGTGTAGGTGTCAGGGAGGGAATTGAAGACAGTCTTTGCCTGAGGCACCTGCCCATCATTGCCCAGTCAACAAAAACTTTCCTGAGAAGTGTCACACAATCAGATATCATCTGCTTCCATCTGATCAAATTTCAGTTGAATAGCCAAATTCAGACATTCTTGGAAGGAAAGGGGAGATGGACAGAGCTTAATTTATCTAAAATGTGCTTGTATCATTTGCACACTCTATATCCAAAGGAAAATGCAATCCCAGCTTTTGGTGGCACAGCCTATAACTTTGACTGTTTCCTGCTTTATTTTGTGCGACTTTTTCCGTGATGGCGCTGTATTTTGTTGTTTTGCTTTGTTGTGTCCTCTGTCATGCTGCTTTGTCTGCATCTTTGTTGTCCAGTTCTCAGTGACCAATAAATACAAGAAAGAGTGAAAATCCCTGATGCAGTCAGCAGCAGTTGTATGCGTGTGGAAGGTCTAAGGAGGGATGAACCTGCAGGAAACATAATCAGCCTGATGACACAATGTCACATCACCCCACAGGGTTTCTAGACCTTCTTGTATGAGAAATGAAGGGTGAAAAAATGACGGCATGGCTGGGAACATGTTCTGTTTTCTCCCACGGTTTCACTGCTGAGTTTACTCAAGTACTGTCTCACATTTTTCACTACAGGCCTCTCAGACACACCAAGTACTTCCCTCACTTCCACGTCACTTCTTCATCTTCATGAACAACATTTACTTGCACAGTGCAGCCTAAGTTTTAATCTAGTTAGTCTTGTTGTTTTATGTGTTCTGATTAGATGCTGTAGAAACTCTTCAAGTGGGGATGCTGTGCAATCCTTGCAATGGAACCCCAGGGTCTCATTTGTACTAATTAACAAAGTCATCTTTATTCCAGTCACAAACCTGCATATGTGACTGTATGCATCCATGCGCACATTTTGCTACAGGTATGTGTTTACACCATGTCTGTGTAAGCATTAGACGTGAGGAAACACACACACATACATGCATACATACATTATTTATTTTGACTAACATTCATACAACATTTTACAGGGATTCTTGGATCATATTTTTGTCTTTTATGCAGCAGGAGAACGCAAGAATAGACACTATTGATTGTTTTCCCTTGCTGTAACTCTAGCCCTGTGGTTGCAGAAAAGAGCATATTAATTAAAAGACACTAGTGTTGAGTTCAGTTTTCTTTCTGCCCAAGATTCAATTTTAGATTTTGTTTCATGATCACAATCAATAAAAGATACATTTGGCTACAATTTAAAATATATACATGTAATAATAATGTAAGATGGTAGAATTTGTCTGATATCAAGATGCTTAGGAAACTACGTGTTACTAGATCTACAAATCAATCTATCCCATGCCTGTAACAGCTTAGAAAAGAATTTCTCCCTTCACTACCTTAGGACGTCAGAACATGAATGATTGCAGAATTTCTTTTATTAACAGCAGAAGTAAAGGAAACAGAAAATACAATTTAAGATTCTTTGCTGTCTAAAATACACACGATGAAAGCCGAACACATGAAAATATCACTCAAGCCCCCACAACCCCTCCTCTCCATTCACTGTTATCCTCAAAGGTGTCTAAGATTGTTCAAGAACTTCTAAAAGAATGAAAGGGTTTTCTACCTAGCACACCTCTAAAATAAATACCAGGTGCGATGATAAGATGTTTGAAGCGGAGAATTTCACATCAGTCAACACTTTAATCCCACTGCCTGGTTGCCTCCTCCTCTTTGCTTCAGTCATCTATGAGAAGCTTTATCACGTTCCTCACAGGCGTTATCGCCTTCTTCAAAGATCCTGGCCAATAGATTGAGCAGGTATGGCAAAAAAGCCTACTCAAGTTTTAATATCAAACAAATGGGCCGACAAAATCAAAGCTAGTGAACTGTATTTATTGGACCGGACTGCCAGTTTCAGAATGTGGCATGTCCCTAAAGCCAAGGGCTCGTTGGTCATTTCACAGTATGTGTTTCACATCCAAAGAGGATTGTTCCTGGCCATCAGGAACAATGTCATGTTCCGTCTAATACAGTGAGGAGATGAAATGATTAAATACACATGAATGACTGAACATTCACTCTCTTTGTAGTTTACAAACATCTCTTGAAATGTTTTATTAATTTTATGCTGTTTGGAAAAAAGTTGGTTTTATTTATGTGAGTCATCTATTTCCAAATATGTCTTCACATCCCACATCTTGCTCATACAAGCTATTGAAAAAGTACAGAATGTCTCCTTAGCACATATAATCTTTACATTTTCATCTGTCACCAAGATAATGAAGTGGAAGCTCCCAATCAGTCATATTTTTCTACCCCAGTAGCACTTAAACCTGGCTGATTTTTCCCTTGAGTAATGATTTTACTACTGGGTTATTAATTGAAGCAATCAGCCAAAATATTGAGTCTACTGAGAAACGAATGCGTTGCCTCTTTGTATCATCTCCCGCCATTGGCCTTTTTTTTTAAGTCAGAAGGAAACTGAAATTTTAATTTTGAATTCAATAAAGTTTATATTGCTCTCTGTACGTGATTTAGAAGCATTAAATTACTTTTGGTCAGCACTTTTGGTATTGAGAAAGTATGTAGAACTTGAACTACTGAAAAGCAGCTTTTGAAGGATCCACTGAAAAGACGAGGATGGCGGCTCCCTGTACGCAAAGAATGCACAAAGAATAAATGTGGGTACATTCTCCATGACAACTGTTATCAGTTAGTAATGTTGCTTGATATTTCCTCCACTATTTCATTCCAGTTGCTTTCTGTCGTTACTATTGGTGGCAGCAGTCGTGTGGAAGATCAAACAGACCTGCTGGGCTTCAAGACGGAGAGAAGTAAGTGCACACAGTACTTTGCTTACATGTGAAATGCAGCGGATTTCAATGACTTCCTACTACCCCTGTAGAAAAGGTTCTCAGTATTTGCAAATCTTGAAGTGTCTTTGGTGCCCCTGTTCTTCTGAAGCATCTTTCAAACCTAAAGGTACCTTCAAAGCTGCAGTTGTGTTTTTACATTTGGAGCCCATACAGAATGTTGTGCCAGCCTGTATTTGCTGTTATTTCTTATTCTGAATGGTTGGTTTGTAGACGTGGGTGGGCATGTGACCAGTAAAACAATGCTTATGAGTTACAAAAAAAAAGGATAAAATTATGTTCCAGTTTTTGAGTAGTTATTTTACCAGAAAAACAGTGAATGTGTTTAAAAATAAAGAAGATAATTCAGATAAACACTGGATTTAAGTTAAGTGGAGCAGTAGAGAGGGCATGAAGGAAGCGAAAGTGATACTGTGAGTGACCTAAGGCAAAAAGGATAGAATGGAACATTACTATTCAGTGTTGGTATGAAAGATGGGGTTGAGAATAGATGGATGAGAATAGATGGCATGAAAGGGGGTGAGTGATGAGATGATGGGCAGTAGAAATTAAAAAAGAGAGTAAAAAAGATGCTGTGCAGGAAATTGAGGAAGACCAAACGTATGCAAATTCACCTTATTGCCCTTACCCAAACTTCATGTGGTGGCTGAACCATAATTTCCATCTCTTCAGAGTGCTATATTCTAGTATATTTATGATTTTTATTTATTTATGATATGATTGTGATATTTAGGAGCAGGAAGTTGAATTTGGTGCAAATCCAGCCTTGTGACCTGCAGGTGACTAATAAAACTCCCTCAATTTATTTCCACTTTGGGAATGACATTGATAATCATAGGATCTGAATTTTATTTCCTCTAATTGATATATGAAAATAAACAAGAATTAAAGCTACTGTGACTGCGAATCATGCCTATCCAAAGAATTAAAGTCAATAAAAATTAATGCAGGCAGATGGGCTCACATCATTAAAATTCTGCTCACTTTTTTCCGTCTGCTCTTGGAATTCCTTTTGTCCATTTGTCGCTGCCCTTCAGCTGCCAGATGAAGATAAATAAATACAGAGTTCCATCGCTACATTTTAGGGGATTAAAAAGTTTTTTCATTGCGTGCAAAAATACTGCACTTGAGTCTGTAAAAAGGCATAAAAGATTGGCTTGCAGATCAAGTCTTGTATATAGTGGCTTCAGAAGTCAGACCACTCTACCTTTTGCACTCTTTGTGTTGTAGATTTAAATTTAAATGGCTAAAATTGCCTTTTTGCCTACCAATCTACATGCACTAACCCATAATAACAAAGTGAAAACATGTTTTAGAAATTTTTACAGATTCATTAAGAATCAAAAACTGAAATCTCTCCTGAAGTCAGTGCTTTGTTAAAAGCCCCTTTGGCAGCAATTAAAGCTTTGACTCTTCTTGGCATCTATAAGCTTTGCACCCCTGGATTTGGACTGTTTATCCCAGTCTTCTGGGCAGATTGCTCTCAAACTTTGTCAGACTGGATTGTAAGTGTCTGTGAGCTGCCATCTTCAAGTTTGTCTGCAGATGTTCTATGGGGTAGAAGTCTGGGCTTTGGCTGGGCCACTGGAAGCACTGCAGCGTTGCTTCAGGCCATTGTCGTAATGAAAGGTGTATCGTTGCCACAGTCACAGGACGTGTGCACCCTGGTGCAGGTTTTCTTCAAGGACCTCTTTGACTACATATATTATTATTATTTGTATTTTTTCATCATGTGACCAATGGCATTTTATAAAATTTTGACTAGCTGTTTCATGTTCAAGTTTTACAAGCTACTGTCGCCTTCTGTTTATATATCTAAATTCATCAAGTACATTAAAGCCATTTGATATATTGCCACTGGTTTCTCGTGTAGATATGTTCAGCCAATAAAAATGTCAGCATTTGTACATGGACAGTTGCTTTTTTTACTGTAGGTTCATGTCCTAACACCTTGTCTACAGCTGTGTCTGTAGTGTTGAGTGTTAGGTTGAGACTATTTTCAGAGGCACAAGTTGCTTAAATTCCTGAGATAGCACCAGCAAACCACTTTTATTTCAGATTGAGTGGCAAGCAAATGGTGGAATTCATACAAATTGCTTGCTACACTGCTTGTATTATTAGAAGGCATTTTGTGTTGTATGTCTGTATGGGAACTAAGAGGTATAGGAGCTATCTATTGCGAATAATGTGGTGTTATAATCACAAGCGTTTCAGTGGAATTTGTGATTGGGTTGCGCCAATCTCGTCCCATTGGTGAACTGATTGGCTCTTCACTGAATATTGTGTCCATTTAATTTGCGAGAGCTTGTCAATAGCCCATGTACTTATGGGGATTGTCCCGATAAGTGATGGAAGGATTTGGGCCGAGGGCCATCTAATGCGCTCAAGCCCCATCTGACATAAGGACATGGAATGAATGAGTCTTAATGAGGCTTCTAGAGATGGCAGAGATGGGAATGACACACTGATCCTGCCAAGTGGCATATGGATGCCTGATAGTGTTTGGACTTTTGAATGTTGTTTTTTTATTGACCTTCTGGTATGAAATTTGTGTTAGCACTTGAAAAAGCACCGTGTTCATAGGAACCAGTTTTTCTGTTATTTACGATTTTTACTAGAAACACACTCAGCCTGAGTGTGTACATTAAGATGTAGGCATTTTATGTATGTCATTTTGAAAATTAGCTCACTAACAACCTAGAATTGACATAGTGGTGAACACGTCAACATTTGCCCGTACTGACTTAATCTTACAAAGCTGATCTTTTACCACGCAAATACACTGATTGGATAAAGGAGGTGATACCAAAGGTGCAGCCATTGTGTTAGAATAATTTTAGTTGAGGATAGGTGAGAAGAATTGGATCTTTAGTGGGGGCCAAAGGGATAAAAAGGCAACAGCTGAAAATGCTATAGAGGAGGATGAGAGCTGACCTCTTCGAAGCTACCTGCGGGGAGAACAGGACTGAGAGGGCGCCGACATTTCACGAGACTGTAACACCAATTTTTTTTTTTTTTACACACAAACGCGAATTGTATCTAATGCTTTCCTGTTCGCTGCTTATCTTACTCACACACTCACTACCGTACACACACACACACACACACACACACACACACACACAGAAACACTCAGATCAAACATACTGACCATAGTGGAAAGCGGTGATGTTTTATTAGCATTCTAGAAGCACTCAAAACTATTATTGAGCAGTGGGTCACGTTAAAAGCACCATTATTTTTTCAGCATTAATTGTACCATTTACTAAATCCCCAGTATCTAATTAGCATCACTTTATTAAAAGCTATTAGCAGCCCATTTTTGATGCCCTGGCCATGATGCTGATAATTGCTGTGACCAGTTTGTAGCTTAAACCTGCCCGTTGTGTCATTTAAGAACTGATAGTAGTAGATGTTAAGGCTAAAAACAAGGACTGTGTTGTGTTGTAGGGGTGTGTGACTGTGTTTAAACTGAGTAAGGGGCTGTGTAGGTGGGTGCATATTGCTTTCATTATAAATATGAAGTATGATCCAGAATGTCCAGTTTGAGTAATAGGTCCATAAGTTTGAAGTTTCATCAAGACACTGAACAGCTCTTTTTCTGTGACTGTTTAGAAATACTTAGAGGACAGGATTTTACAACTCACAGTGACAGTCATTTGAACATTTGTTGTGATATTCAACAGTAGAAATACACTGTTCAAATTACAGAATAATTGACCAGGACTGTGTGTTTTCACGTATTTGATTGGGGAATGCAGCGGATGCTTGCTGGTTGACGTCACATTGTGCTCTGGCCAGGTGACCTTGTTTCTGCATTGCCAGACTGGCCTCATTCAAGTGAATGATAAGGCTGAACTTATTCACACAACTAAATACCATAACAGTAGTGTGCGCTAGCTGCACAAGCCTTTTCAGAAAACTGGTATCACTCATTTAAAACAGTCACTGTCAGTAAACACACTGTCGCTAACCACATAATTCTCACTTCCCTGTGCAGACCTGCCATAGTCTCACACTTGCTGTTCCCTTGAAGAGCTCAATCAGCAGTCATTGATTGCTATAATAAGATTATCCTACTCTTAAGCCCCTGGTCACCTTGATTGTCCCTTGTTCAGTTTAAAGTTTGTGCACCAAAATCTCCAACAAATTTAGAGATCATGGAGCGTAACTTTGAGTCGGGGTTATGGCTTACCACAGGCGGGTTTAGAAACTGTCCCACTAAAGACCATTATATAAAATATGGTGCAACTGTCCCACTAAAGACCATTATACAAATATGGTGCAACATGTATTGTTATAATTTACCCTTATTACTTTACACATCTGCAATAATTCATATTATTCATATTTTCTGTGAGTTTGTGGAGCTTGGTTCTTGGTACCACACAAACATTCTGTCAGTAGTAGTAGTAACATCCATCCTTCCCATCCATTATCTATACCACTTATTCCTGAACGGGGTCGCGGCGGGGCTGGAGCCAATCCCAGCTGACATTGGGCGAGAGGTGGGGTACACCCTGGACAGGTCGCCGGTCACAGGGCTGGCATGTAGACAAACAACCACACGTACTCACACTCACTCCTATGGGCAATTTAGAGTCACTAACCAACCTAAGCTGCATGTCTTTGGACTGTGGGAGGAAGCCGGAGCACCTGGAGAGAACCCCCGCATGCACAGGGAGAACATGCAGACCCCACACAGAAAGGACCCAGGTCAGCTGGGGCTTGAATCCAGAACCCTCTTGCTGTGATCGTGCTAACCACCATGCCACTGTGCAGCCCTAGTTAGTAACATTTTGTCATTTAATCATATGTGTGTAGATGGTCAACACATGTATCAACCTATAGAATGTAAAACTAAGTAGACAAACATTTTGTACTTAACCTTTTATTTTATTATTTATTTTTATTCTGTGGGACAGTGGCTATGGGTACAACCAATGATCTTCACAAAGTAC